TGTGAACTTTTGAATTTAGAACCGTGGAACAGTTTCTACTGCGAAAAAGACCAAAATGTCCTCTTCTAGATGTTTTTTTTTTTTGTAATAAATAAAATTAACGTAATTAATGGTCTGCATGCATATATAGTTTGTTAAGCGTGGAAAATACTTGGAATATCACGAATATAATATGAATATGATACCCCTCGGCACATGCTTAAGACGTGATGTGTAGTTAGAAATCCATTTGGTTCAACTATACGATATTCCCCCTGCATGGTAACGGCATAACTATATATTCTTTCTCCATTTTTCAAAAATATTTGCAGCCTCATATGTCGGGATGATATATGCGCTATTACAAATATTCTTGAACATATACTTAATATTATATGGTCAGATCTCGCATTTATTCTCCTTTTTCTTCTGGTTAAATAAGACAAAATGATTTATTTTAGTTTATAGCTATGATTTAAAAATAAAATTTCTTGTGTTGATTTTGCGAAATAATAGTGGGCGAGGGTCCTTTTATTCCCATTTGAACCCAAACAAATGCAATCCGGATTGTCTTTTTTTTTTTGGTTCAAAACATGAATTATGGAAATTGTGGAATTCATCATTTCTAACTTTAATTAATTTATATATATATTAATGGAAAATGAGCAATAAGAACAAAATCCAGACAAGAAAAGCAACATGTCTGGCTGGCCGCAAAGCCGGGGAGGCGATTAGAAAACAGGATCAGACAACCCTACCATCCTCCACCCAAACTCACTCCCCCTCCCAACATTTATTTGTGCCATATATATATGCAATGTTTCAATAAAAAAAATGCATAGAAAAAAAATCAGGAAATATTCATACAATATCCCAAAAATCACATTAGAGAAGGGAACGTCGAATCATAGTTCAGTGTCTAAACTTAATTTTATAAATAAAATATCGTATGTGAATCATACAATGAATTAATATGAGAAATCCAATTCTAAATATTTGATACTATTTTAATCGCCCGGTATAACTGTTTAGAATGTGCAAGTCATCGTATGATTATAAAAAAAATTAGACATATCTGATAAATAAAAATAAAAAAGTTGAACAGTTAACAGTTAGGATTTTTTTTTTTTTTGGGTAGGGTTAGGATATTTGGGTTGGCAACCGGAACATAATTAAATGGGATTGGAAGTAATAAAAGCCGGTTGAATAATAATAATAATAATAACATATGGTTAATTAAAAGGAGTCGGGCGAATCAAATGCCTATCATACCAAATCATTGGTGGGACCCAGATGTTATGGAGCTGTCTGAACCTGACACGTGTCGGACCCAGCTGACAACACTGTCTCGGCAATCTCAGAGGTGTGGATAAGTCTGTGAGGGATCCATGATGAATGGATGTGGATGGTGCATCTGCAACGCAAGTGCGTATGTGTGTACATGCGTTGTTGATGACATGAGAGCCACCACTTTCTTTATATTCACTCTTCTATTTTATTTTCTTCCTTTTTTTTATTGTATTATAGTTTTTATATGTATTTCTTTTGTTTTGGATGAGGTGTGCTTTGGGGTTTGATTAGTCTAAAGACGATTAATTTAATTATTACTAATCATCTGATCCCCCTCTTTAAATCCACCTCTCTCAAAAGTCAATGTTTATCTGCATTTCCTACTTTTCATTAATTATTAAATTTAACGTGGTTAATTATATTAACCAACACACTCGGACATGATCCCACAACTTTTTTTTTTCGAATTTCAAATGTATATGTTACTAAATTACCAAATGTGCCACAAGAATACAAGGCTTAATTTATGCTTTATTGTTTTCTTTTAATCGATTGATGAAAAATTATATTAATTCATAGACCATAAAAAGGCATTCCTTTATTACAAGGTATGAATAACATAATCTCCTAAACTAAACATGTTTATTATAGTGTATATAATAGAATTAATTATAAAATCTAACAAAATCATCATATCTTCAATCCGATCCTTTTCCACTTATCTTTTTGACGTATGTATGTATGTATGTATGTATGTATGTATGTATGTATGTATGTATGTATGTATGTATGTATGTATGTATGTATGTATGTATGTATGTATGTATGTATGTATGTATGTATGTATGTATGTATGTATGTATGTATGTATGTATGTATGTATGTATGTATGTATGTATGTATGTATGTATGTATGTATGTGTGATGGATAGATATGATTGCCGTCACGGGACGCACGCTCTCCATCAATTCAAGTTTCAAAGCTGAACGCCTAAAACAACACTAAGACATATAACAAATAAAAATGAAATTAAATGCTAAATTAATAATAACATGTATGCGTACAACGATACATGGGTCGTCGTGGAAACGAGTTCGCTGCACCTTGCTAGTAGGAGACCGGTCTGGCCGCCGGGGACCAACTCTGCTTATTGGAAGAACAAATATTTTAATAATTTGTGGCCCCTCGTTTTAATATTATTGGAAATCGAGACAAATGATTAAAGTCCTCATTTAAATGGAATAAGACCTTTATAGTGAAATAACCATATTGTTCAAATGCTTTGTCAAACTTCGACAATCAACATTTAAATAAAATGCTCTGTACTATTTTTTTTTTTGGTGTTTGCAATTCTCTAATCACGCAATACATCGAGGGAAACTCTAAGATTAAGAATAATATCATAGAGTAATAATAAAACAGTGAATAAATAAAATTTACTGGTTAAATTGACATAACGGGGCATTCAAATGCGTATGTCAATTGACAAAAATGTCCAAAAATTTTGTGAAGTACTCAAGAGAGATGATGCATGGAGATATCATGTATTTGACCAAGAAAAGGCTAAATAGCACGTACTCGAAAGTTCCAACTTTTCTTATGGGCAACCATTAATTTCATTTGTGGGCTACTTGAAGAATTAGGGGTAATCGGAAAAAAAAATTAAGATAAAGAACTATACCAAAAAGAGAGATACAGTGCGTGTGTATATATACATATGTGTGTGGATAATATTAGATGAGAATTAGGGTTTTAAAATGTTAGGATAGGTGACCTAACTTGGGGGATGAGAGCATGAATACATACATACATAGCCGACAAACGTATAATTGGGAAGTGCCAAAACAGAGAAGCCAACCAATGAAACGTTCCACATCAACTTTCTTAGTTAAGTCTTGAAGATCTTTTTGATTCTTGTTGACGAATCATATTCTGCCACCATTATCTCTCTTCGACCCTCTTTTCCAATTTCCCCCTTCTGTTTTTTTTTTCCTCCTACGTTTTATGATTTTTTTTTTCGTATTCTCTCCCAAAAAAAATAGTTGTAATTGACGAAGTGATGTAACAGGTATCGATTTGAATAGTAATGTAATGTTGGCGAACTGTCGACTAGAGAGAGAGAGAGAGAGAGAGAGAGAGAGAGAGAGAGAGAGAGAGAGAGTACGTTATCATGGCATCTGTTTCTTCCGATTCATCTATGATCGCATCCCAAGATTTTTAATCCATAAAATGGTTTGTCTTTTCCGTCTAATTTCTTATCCTCCTAATTTCTTAATTTAAATGAAAGTGTAAACTTTTCCATCTCGTAAGCCATATATAAGACAAATAGTACGTGGAAAGTAATTATATACAAATAGTATTGATATCTTATAACAAAACTATCTAATAATCGGATGTAAACATTAATTTTTGTGTAGTTAATATTCACATTTTATTTGAGGGGAAAATGAGAAAAGAAAGTTTCAAAAGGTGTTAGTCATTTTGTTTCTGCTATTGAACTAATTAATTGGTTAGATCCAAAGAACTAATAAACCTAAAGAAGATAGTGGGGATCACTATCCAAAGTGAAAATAATAATAATAATAATAATAATAATAATAATAATAATAATAATAATAATAATAATAATAATAATAATAATAATAATAATAATAAATAGATAAATAAATTAATAATAACAAAAGGGCCTATATATATATATATGTGTGTGTTTTTTTTTGTGAAGAGGAAACATGGAGGATGAAGATTGGTAGGCATGCTGACATGTTACCCATCTATGGCCAGTTGAAGCAAAGCATGGAGTGGGAGACAATTCATGTTGGTCTGTTATGTTAAAAGGAACCTCTTAATCACTATCTAATTATGACATTTTCTCACTATAATTATCTGCCCATTCATATACCCACGACGCCCATGTTTCCTTCACATGTATTCGAGTACGGTGTTCGTTTAATTATTACAAACTCCAACAAATAGTATTTAAATTTCTTAGAATGCAGTTATGAGAATATCTACTGTATTAAATTATAAGGAAGTAAAAAATAAGAATTATTTATTAAATTATAAGAATTTATTTACGGTGGAGGTTGGAGATAAAGAATATTTCTCCTTTTTTTTCCCGTTTTTCAATAGATTTGTACAAACACAAAGACACATGCATACGCACGTCGGAGGGATAGAGGGAGAATATATATTGCCGTGTGACAAATAGCTAAAAGAATCACTCTATTGGCGTTGTTGGATTTCGGATGAAATTAAAATACGTCCCCGCAAACACAATTTCATTATGGAGATAAATAATTTTAGGAAAAAAAAATTGTTTTCCTTGAACGTGTTAGGTGTACGACAAAACTGTGGGAGTGAAACGATCTTAATATGTAAGAAATATATATCAAATAATTTTTTTTTTAAAAAAAGGTCAGATACGAATTTATGATTTTATGCGATAAAAGATGCAATATAAAAATGATTGAATTTTGTAAGTGGGGAGAATAGTAGCAAGTGGATGCTCAAATGGTCAACCTTTGTAAGTGAGAAAATAAAGGAGGAAATTGTGCTACATAATTTCCCACATTCTTTTCATCGGCTTAAATAAACAAGAAAAATAAAATCATTCCTTTTGATTAATAATTATTAGCCACCCACCCATCCACCCATCGAAATTAAAATTAAAATTTTCAAAAAAGAAAAAAGAAAAAAGAAGCTTTTTCTACCTTCTTCTTAAGAAGGCTCTTGGCTTCATCTCCCCCCCCCCATTATCCTCACAACTTAAAACACCGCCAAGGGGGGAAAAGAAATAGGAGAAATCTTCTCTCTTTTCTTGGTCTCACCTGCCAGAAATCTTGAATCTTGAAAAGAAGAAACGCAAAAGGCATAAGAATCTCTCAAATGGGTGTCGATGATTCTTGCAATAACGCAGGCCTTGTTCTTGGGTTAGGCCTCACGCCAACGAACAGTAATTACAATCATGCCATCAAGAGATCGTCCCCCAACGTGGTCGATCGGCAGAGCCTGGATCCGTCGTTGACTCTGAGTCTCTCGGGGGGAGGAGCCGTCTGCCGGCGGCGGAGATTATCAGCTGTGCCGGCAAGCCTCCTCTCACAGCGGAGTCTCCTCTTTCTCCAGCGGAAGAGTGAAGAGAGAGAGAGATGTCTCCGGCGGCGGCGGAGAAGAGGCGGAGACTGAGACAGAGAGGATGTCTTCAAGAGTCAGTGATCAAGAAGACGAAGAAGGTGTGAGTGCAAGGAAGAAACTCAGGCTTACCAAAGAACAATCTGCTCTTCTTGAAGAAAGCTTCAAGCAGCATAGCACCCTTAATCCTGTAATTATCCTTTCTCTAATCTCTCTTTTTTTTTTTAAATGTTTATAATGAATCCCCCTTAATCTCATCGTTCTCCCTTATATAATAATCCTGTTCCTTCTCTTCTTCCTATACAGAAACAAAAACTAGCTCTTGCAAGGCAGTTGAATCTAAGGCCCAGGCAAGTCGAAGTGTGGTTCCAAAATCGGAGAGCCAGGTAATTAGTTTGATTTAATAAATTACAAGTGCTTATTTGATACTACACACAATTCAGACTTATGATATATCTCGGAATTTTATCGTTAAACGCATAGAAGGCTCCTTAAAACAAATATTCTCGTTTAATATATCATGTAGATAATTTATGTATTTAAATTTATTATGGAACTCTGTCAGGACAAAGCTGAAGCAGACAGAAGTTGATTGCGAGTTCTTGAAGAAGTGTTGCGAGACATTAACTGATGAGAACAGAAGACTTCAGAAGGAGCTTCAAGAACTCAAAGCCCTAAAGCTGGCTCAGCCCTTCTACATGCACATGCCGGCGGCAACGCTCACGATGTGCCCTTCCTGTGAGAGACTCAGCGGAGGCTCCGTTGCCGGAGGCGGTGGTTCCGGTGGCGGAGTCACGTCGGCGGTCGTCGACAGCGCCGGAGCCAAGGTCGCGGCCTTCTCCATCGCCGCCAAGCCTCACTTCTTCAACCCTTTCACCAATCCCTCCGCGGCTTGTTGATTAGTTTCTTGCTTGATCATTAATTAATTTCTATTTGAAGTTTTTATTAGGAATTAGTTATAATATAGAAGACGGAACAAATATATATATATTTATATATATATATATATATATATATA